ATTTTTCACTACAACTTTATTACTATCACTACAACGTTATTGCTCCATTTTCTTAAAGAATGAAATCATATACTGTAATTTTTTGAAGTCAATGGAACTAATACTATTGATTTGGTAACATTTCAAAAATGAATTATTTTAATCCAGAGTGTACCATCGTGTAGCTCTTTTGAAGTGTGATCATGAAGGATTAAATGAAAAGATACTTTGATATTAATACACGCAATAAAAATATCGAATATGAATTTTTCTCTACATCATTTGTCCAAATTCTATTATTTGGGACACACATTAGCGCTACTATTTATGCATAATAGAAAAATTTGATAACTGCTTTTTCGATTTCTTCAAGTTCTGCTTCCTTTTCTGAACTTTGTCATTTAATTGAATATCTTGTACATTTTATACAAAGCTACTTTGGAATCTTGGGAATTTAATTTAAAACGTAGCGCAATATGAATACAACAATTGAAAAAATAATACTATATAAATATATTATACTTACTTTGTAATTTACATTATTGTCTGATAGAATGTATATTTAATATTCTGCTAGAACTCCACGTTAACAAATTAAATATTTATATATTCACCTTAACCTTTTATAGGTAATCCATTCCGCGTAACTCATTGACATGTACAAATGCGGCATACTTATATTTAATGCATCTATAGCGGATAATGCTATCACCTTATAAGGCAAAATCCAAGAATAGTAATTCAATGATTCGATAAGACATCTCATTATGTGCTCTTATTCGAGAGTAATATCCTTAAAATTAGACAATACTGAGATATTGATTAAGGGTGTGATTCACTCAATACTGCAAATACTTCGTTGATCAATCAGAAGAACGAATTTTACAAATTTATCAAAGAATTCTTCAAAGCATTTGTAACGTGAAGTGGATCGCACTTTAAGATTCAAAGTGTTACTTTATTTCTTTGAAACTACTGCAACAAATGTATTTGAAAAAATCGTATAAGTACAGAAGTTTTAGATATCTAAAACATTATTAATTAATTTATATTAGCGCTAAGTACATACTCATACCTCTATCCCGAGATAATATCCATAATCTCCATATGTGACCAAAAATCTCGATCCCCATTGGTCGCGTGTACTCTTATTATTATTTTCTGGACAAAGCAAAAGAATAGAGTACATAATAATGCTTGATATCTCCATGTTATTCACGCCTTCGATTTTGTATGATGACTTGTCAATTATGATTTAAGGACGCGGTTGTCCGTTTTTTTCAAGTAGACACAACGCGACGAAATCTTTTAGAGACAACTTGCAATCCGGACATCATCAGCTTAGCGACTTTTAGTCTCGTTATCGATTTAATTAAATTATCGAGTATAAATGTTGTTTAGTATCATCAAATGCATTTTTTGCAAATTGCATATTCTTACAAGTCTTCGACTCAAGACTTTCCAGCTAATGGTCTGTTGTATGCCTGGGGGAGGGAGAGAGAGGGAGGGAGAGAGAGAAGTATAGTGAATTATGCTATTATATTATTAATAAATTCACAAAAAAGTATAATACATATATAATTAATCCCTAATGTAGATCTTTTCAACAGAATTTCGTGTATAATTTATTTTTCCTCTTTTTCTCTTCTCGTTGGAGAAAAAAGGTAAATGCAAGAAATTGAGTGAAAAAAATCAGTTTAAAAGACCTATAATATTATAAAATTAGCATATAGGGAAGACCGGAGACAAAAGTAACAAGGTACAATAGTAACATCGTTCATATTTCTTAAACTACGATAGATATATGTATGCGGCTATTAAAATTCTATAGACAGATCGGCATTGAATCGTTCGTACGCTGGTTCTTACGGAACATAGAGTATGAGTATAGAAACAAAAATTATTTTTTTATGCATCAAGTAAGTTTTATTGTTTGCACAAAATTTAAAATATTTTTTTTTCTTTATAATAAAGGTATAATGTATTATTATAATATGTTTTAATGATTATCTGCATTGATGGTTTGCACATTTGGATTGATTTTTATCTAGGTTTTTATTTAAAAAATTTACTATAAGTCATAAAATATCATTAGAGAACAATAGTAATATCAATGCCTGGGGTCAATTGTAACATTACAATTATCCCCAAACTTACTTGATTTTATTTTAGTATTATTTTGTACAATATTATTTATATTTTTCTTTAGAATCCCATTAACAAGAAAACATAAGACAGATAAGAAAAAACTTCAGGATTGGCAACGTTACCTTATAAAAATAACTCGTTACTGTTATCATTCTTTTTCCTAAAAATAACTAATTCTCGTTACTCATTATTGACTTGCAAAAGTAACTCGTTATCGTTATTGTTACTCAAAATATAACGAATCGTTACTTTTTCGTTATTTTTTTTCTTAAAGGAATGCTGGAGTATCCTGTTTTATCATTAATTATTAAAGACTTTTCTCTTAATTATTAAAGACTTTTCTCTTAATTATGTTTATGGCTTGAAAAATCCTTCTCCACAATTAAAGTATCGACAACAACGCAATTCGCCAGCTACAATTGAACACGAAAAACGAAAGAAAATTAAAGACTTACAGTTTAAAAATAAACCATTAATCCGTTTATATAATTTTAAATTATGATGTTCATGTTATTTATATGACGAATATTTTTCTTAAGTATTAAATATTTGTATTAAAAAGGATCCAAATTGATAACCGAAGCATCTACAATTTATATATAACGATTGTTAAATTAATTACACGTGACTAATTAGTATTGGCCCTTATAGATATCCTTATACTTTGATTTATTCTTCAGAGCCTTTATTATTCATAGTATGATAGTTATTATGTAGTTGTGTTATATCTCTGGCAAATGTGGTACATTTACCTATCTCTACTCTGTTATAATAATCGTTTCTATCGTCCTCAGGGATTGGGATGATTGTAACAAAATTTCCTCACAGTCTTTAAACAAACATAACTTTTTCCTAGTTACAGAAAAAAAATTAAATCGAAGAAAATTTTGTAGTTAAATAAATCCTACATCTAAAGATATATATTTTTTAAATGTAAATATTATATTTTAACTGTAACACTTTAAAGTTAAAATGTTATTAGGTGTTGGAATTAATTCGTAGCGTTTTTTAATGAAAGAATGTTATTTATTTCACATGAGCATTAAAAAATACATTAATGAAAGTACTTCCCATCACTTGTAAAACGCTACGAATTAATTCCAACACCTAATACTTTTATCCCCGATCTCCTCTAATATCGTCTAATAGTATGTAAAATGTACACAATGTAGATATAAATATAAAAATACTATTGTAAATAGTACATAACAGCTAGATATAATTTCACGGAAAATTTATTAATTGGATTCAATTTTTTATTGTTATTCAGCGTGCGCATCATCTGGAGTAGAAACATGCTCGATACATCATGAATTAATTGCAGAATAATATTAAGAGAATATGCCTTTGAATTATAAATATAGCGTATATGTGAGTACACTTTAATATGATAATTGATTTTAAAAGCTCCTCGAAAAAATATATGCATACATAATCATTGTAGAAAAATACTATTGCGCAGTAGTAGTTTTGAGGTACTACAGTATCGCTGTACTATAGTAGTAATGAAGATATATAAAATATGTCCATTTATATATACAATTATATAAAATTATATATAATTTTATATAATTACATATATATAATATTTTTTCGCGGGCTAGCAGTGCTCAGAAGTATTTTTCTACAAGAGAATATCCAATATTGTGATAAAGATAGATACTGCAAAATTTTCACTCATAAATTTCTGTCCTCTACAATACTTACGTTTTTGTTCAACTATTCGGGTTTTGTTCAACTACTAACTAACTACTTCTATCGGCAGAGGCGATTGCTTACCATAATCTTAGCGAAAAGAGGCTGTAATAAAGTCCAATAATGATTTTGATACATTCAGAAAAAACATAATGATGTTCTTGTTTAACCACAAGTACTGTTCCTGTACAATCCAAATATCAAAATTGTTTGGAAATAATGCTCGATCGAATATTTATCATTTTTATGTATCTACATTCATCTCGAACTTTTTGAATTGTTTTCAGAATCTTCAATAATTTCGAACATGTACTATTAAGAACCATCATATTGTGTAGAATAATTCTTCTTTATATAAATATGAATGCACAATTGCTTGCCTGATATCCTTCAAACTAAATTATTTTATCAATCTTATATAATATCCAAGCAATGACGTACGAATAATATAGCTGTTATTTGTAATCTATTCTTATTTTTCAAGACTGCCTTGAAGCTGCTGACTAATTGTCGTAGCCATTAAATAAGAATGATACGTTGAAATTTTTTGCATGCCAATTGTAAATAAAAAGAATTTGGAAAAACAAAATAATAAAATCAATGAATCTGTAACTCATATTTATCATATTTGGCACGTAATCCATACTACGAGTTTCAATATTATAAGGCAAGGAATCAAAGATGATTAGGTATAATCATAGCGTTATTATAAGATTATTTTTATTGGGATTAGAGTATATATGTCGCACCTATCAAAAACTTAATTTATTAAGTATTATTTACTATGTTTAAAGTAAACGAACTATATCAGTAAAAACTTTGTACTGTCTACTACTATGAAAAAAATATTAGAAATCCGAAATATTTATTTTTCATATTAAATAATAAACTTTTTGAAATCCTTGCATTTTTGCCGTATATCCCATAGGATGGGGTATGTGGCTACTTATAGGGAGAGGGAGGGTATACTGCTCATGAAAAATTTACAAATAATGCATATAAATAAGATACAATAACTTATAAATAAAATGCGTTTATAAAGTTTTATTAAAGATAAGAATGGTAAATATGTATATGAAGTAATAAATAATAATTACAATCTTCCTACACACATGTATTACAAGTGTTATGAGGTACATATATCATATAATGTGTTTATTGCATTTAGTGCACTGAATTCAATCTGCGCATTTTGTATGCTTTGGGCATAAATCGTTAAAAATGCCGTATATCCCAAACAGGTGAGATATACAAAACAACAAATTAAACAAAAAATACGAAAGCAAAGCACTTATATTTTGCTATACAACATGCTTTATTATTCCTACACATATGTATTATGAAATAACCATTAAGTCTTTTATACGCCCTATAATAATCATTTTATGTAGATTATAATTTATTTTGGCGTTACTTATTACAGTGACAAATCGAGATTCAACTCACAATCAAGGTTGGGAACGTATTATACCCTGTGTATCATATGTAAGTATTCTACGTATGATATTGATGTATGATGTCACTTCACTTTCACATGACTATGTCATGTATTATATATAAACTCATTTTTTAATCCGATGATTATATTTAGATGTTTTAGACTGGTAAAACAAATTTACATTTCACTGCGATATCAAAAATTCGAAATATGACAATATTAAATTATATTGAAAATTAATTTAAAAATTATGGCATAATCAGATTATATGTATTTACTTTCAAATTAAATACACGCTATAAGAGCAAAAATTACAACGAATTATTAATATTATTGTATACCAAATTTATGTATATACTGCACTTAGGCCCGACCGGGCCTCATATTCATAAGGTGCGTTCGGCATTGTAAATCGGAGGCATTCGTTTGCTCTTTCATCTCGAAAATTGTTTGGTAACTCGCATCTTTCTACATGTCATCTCATCTGCGTTCGGTATTAACATTTCTAGATCGAGCTGCTCGATCCACTCCAGATTCAAAGACCGCTCGCAGAGCTAATGTAGATTTTCGCGTTTAAATTAAATTCATAATATGTATATTTATGATAATGTATTCAACTGATTTGTTAATACATAACGTACATGCATCTCTTTTAATTTAATATATAAATTTGAACTAAAAATATAACATTACTTTCCTTGCGTAACCATTGCGGAATGCTTTTAAAGAAGAACAATAGTGTCACATTTTTAATTCAAATTTATATATTCTACATTTTAAAAATTAGCAATTACACCATATGATAGAATAAAGTTTTAACTTTAAAAATCTGTTTCTTTAATTACGATACGCTGATTTTTAATAGAGATATGAACAATCAAATTAGAATGTTCCTTTTTACTTAACTCGCGAATAATTTAAGAACCGAAGAAGTTCTTAGGAACAGAAAAAAAATGATTTTGAAAGGAAAACTTCAAGCTTCCACGATAAATAGACAAAAACTTTCGCAATTTTGGGGGGGTATATAACAAAATCTCAGAGTGAGAAAAAAATTTTTCTATTAGTTTCAATTCGTAGTTTTATAAATATAAAAATTATCAAACTTACAGAAACTCAAAAAAACAATAATCTTTTGAAAGTAAAGATTTGAGCTTTAAAATCTTTTTTTTAAATTTTAATTTCATTTATTTCTAACGAAGAAATTGTATATACTATTCTGAATTAAAAAAACAAGAACTTTTTGAACAATAAAAACGAAAAGTCAAGTATCTTAATGAAAAGTAGATATAAAAAAATTTTCAAAGATGTATTTCAAAGAAAAAAGATAGAGTAAACGTTTTTTTAATTTCTTTTTTACGGTATTATGTTTCTAAATTATGTCAAATAAAAAAATTGATATTTTTTAGATTCTTGTTTTATTTTGTAGCTAGTGACAGATTCGAACGCAGGGATTATCTTCGAAATAAATTCTCTGAAATTCTTCGTTAGGCCGTTTATTCAGACTAATTAATTAATTTGTTCAGACGAGTTATGACACCAAGTAATGAACATCAACAGGCAAAAGTTAACAAAAAATAGACTTTCTAAGCTATAATATATTTTTTAAGAAATTAATATAATAAGTTTTCGCAATAGTATTGATCGAATTTCTTGCGTAAAAACTCATTTTTAAAAATGTTTCTTAATTTCAAAATTGAAGATTCAGGAATAGACATTATTTATTTGTTAGATATTTGAAAATCATTCATTAATTCTCGAATTTATTCCTCTTTGGCTGGTATTCATAGTCCGTAAGAATAATTAACAATGTAAGAAAATAGGAATTGCTACAAAAAAGGAATATTGCAGTGCGCAAACAATTGTCATCTGACATGTACATAATATAATCATGTATACTAGATTTTATTGCGTTATTGTTATTTTTATAATATAACATAATATTATTTTATTTTTATTAGGTTAAAACTAACAGCTTATTTATTTAAATACTAATTATGCAATAAATGATTCATGTGTGGAAATTTTTCTCTGCTTTTATCATTCCTAATAACATCCTAATAACATTTAATAATAATCTTTGTGTAACTTTACTATTATATCATCATATTCTGCATTAGAACATTAAATAAAGGAAACTAATATGTGCTATAAAATTTTCCGAGACTTTTGAACGGCAGTATATGCAGTATATGCACTATATGCAGTACATGCGTGCGTGCGTGCGTGCGTGTGTGCGTGCGTGTGTGTGT